AAAAAAAATAATAGAAATACAAACATAAAATAGAAATAACAGTTGAATACTAGCTCCTGTACGAGGCGGTCGACCAGCTGATCATTCCTGGCTATTTGCCAATCTGCGTATCGATTTTTCACCAGCTTCGCTCCAGTGCGAACGTGGTGAATGACAGTTTGAACACGTAGTCAGCCTAACGAGGGGCGGAGGCATCGCGTCCCCCACTGTTCCTGGCCTTATTGTGCCCTATCCAGCCGTTTTCCGACCTAATTCCTGCACAAATGTTATCAGAGGGGGCTCAGAATTCTAACCATGTGCATATCTTCGAAACCATTTAGTCGTTAACAGTGCCTTTAAGAAAGAGGCAGGGGTTGGCATGAGGCATGTGGGCTGAACTATCTGTGACGTTCATGCCCTCCACTAGTACGTGTGATTTTTGCCTATCAAGGGTACCTACCACCAAACGTTACAGATAGCAGGCAGCCAGTTGTTTTACCTCTGTCTCCAGTTACGAGACAAGATTTCCTTACAGCTTGGTTGGGAGGAAATTATTCAATTCAGGTTCGAAATTCATCCTCGACTACGACTTCCTCGTGGCAGTGGGCGTGATCCTTTAGCTGCTGGTTGTGATGCGCTCCGTATGTCGCTGGAAAGGTTTTCTATACGTAATAGGCCCAACACATATGTTGTAAGGTGAGCAGAATTATTTGGTAAGCGATTCTCACTATATGCATATACTGCGCAGTATCTGTCTGTCTGTCACGAAACTCGATTATCCGGAGAAGTACCGTCGGGTCATGTTTGGGATGAGCTCATGGGACCCGCTCCAGATGCGAAAATTCACCGGACGGGAGGTGCAGTGGGGAAAACCTTATAATCTGTTCAAGCATAGACATGGGAAAAGAATCGACAAAGGTTAGGAATGGGTCAACAAGCCAAGCGCACTTGAGCTCTCATCCGCAATGAGCGCAGCGTTTCCAAGATGGGCGGTACCTTCTGCAACTCATAACTCATCACAGCTTATATCCAGATTCCTGTATTGGGAGCTAAGATTGAAATTTCATAACTCTGTAGATGTGTTCTTTGCTGCGACGACCGCCTAGGTGTGCGCAGCCTGACTGTTTGAGTACAAATAGCTATTGTGGCTAAGTGTTTACGCCCGGAAATGAGTGGGTACTGTTTGAACGTAGGAAAAGCTAGATTTTCATCAACAAATTGTAGATTACTCTTCTTTAACTGGGTACACCTTCTTACACCAGGTACACCAGTCGCACCGCCTGACTCAAGCCGGGCTGCCCTCCTTTTCAGCTGATCTTGCCTTGCCATCTCCTTCCTTTCCGAGTTTGGACGCTCTAGTCCTGAACAAAAAGATTTACAATTTTTTGCCAAGCACACTTATTGGTATACTTCGTTATCTCGCCCCTCTTGCCGTGTGCATAGTCCTGCCAAAACAATGTGTGTGCAGGTAATTTGATTAATTCCCCACTTAATCTGACATGGCTGCGTAGTTTTAGCCAGATTACGCTCACTTCGCGTACTCTTCGGCCTTGATTCCACCGTTTACTATCGCTGAACCAATCCCGTCGCCTGCATTCTATTCTTCCTTAATTTGGACGATCTAGGTTCAAGAAAACAATGCGCGTCCCCCTTCCCCCTCCCCGTCCCCCGAGGGCAGGGCGGGACCTGCCACCAACCGTCGCATTTCCGTACAACCCCCTCCGTTCCTTCCGAGTTTGCATAGTCAAACCTTAGGCTTCCTGTGGGTGTTTTCAGAAGGAATTTTTTTTACAGAGAATCTAATGGCAGCGTTTCGTATATGCAACTTCATACATCAATTGAAACGTTTAATGCATCCCTGAAGCGCCATCGAATAAACGTGAAAAAGAGGAAGGAAACGAAGTGAGTTGCCACATATGGTCTGCTTGTCGTGCTTTTTACTTTGGATTCGAAAAATTCGGTGATTCCTGTAATCTTGGTATTTTAATCTATGGATACACGGGATACATGAAGTCAAGAAGAGGGGCGTCAAGGAAAAAGAAAAATTCCCTCAAATCTTTGCCATGATTGTGGGAATCAGACGGGGCACATTGAGAGAATTGAAGTAACTTGAACAAATCCTCTTGACGACTTCGTTTTTTCCTTGGATTTCGCTCAACTACTATTACTTTCGCTATTTAATCTCGTCTAATCGTTCGATTTTTTCTAGGGAGGTTGAACGCTTCAAAACACATGTCCTGTTGGCAGTTTACGGTGTCGATCATCCAGGACGAGAGATATGTGAAGTGCTAAGTGATTGCCTACAAAAGCGCCTCGATCAAGTAATACTTAGCCAACTAATCGACACACTAGCCAAGAACACACAAACAAGGTTGGACAGTGCAGATGTGCAGGTAGGTTCTGAATTTATACCTTCTACAGTTTTTATGATTGAGGTACTTGTCTATTGACTTCTTTCTTGTGAATACTGTGGTTTTAAGTCATCAAGAAACTGAGCAGAAGTTCCGCTTTGAACTGAACACCTTCGTATTTTTGGTTGGGAACTTACTAGCATTTAAGTTTTGTAGGCCTTCGTTTACTAACAAAATGATGAGACTGATGATTCCCGGTGGGTGCTGGGATTCCCGATACCCCAGCAGTAAACTTTAGTTGTAGCTGCCAACTGCGTCGTTCAAGGGTGATTACACAGTTTTTGAGTTGCATTTGTAGTCCTGAGCGTAACAGACTTCTCGATGTTGACTGTTCTGTGACACAGTAGAGACGCTTTCGATTGCTCAAATATTACTCCATATACTCGCTTGATACCTGGGCTTTTTGGAAAGGGTCTGAATGACAGTAGAAAAGCCCAATATGTAAATTAGGCCGAGTCCTCTTTCAGCCCTGTAGGGAGCTACAGGAATTCGTTAATGCTGAGATAAAATATGTTAGCGTTGTATCGTGGAGAACCCAAGAAAGTAGAAATTGTGTTTGCAATCTCATTTTCACTAATCATCAAATACCTCCCTCGAATGAGCCCTTCGCTATGATAAACACGTTGTTCTGATGCTTTCCTTCCCTCGCGTCAAAGCAGATGAAGTCGTGTGGCGTACCACTAAGATCAAGCTCTACGCGACCTTCTAATTGGCTGGACTCATTTCCCATTAGTGATTTAACACTTATGGTTTCTTAAACGCCATTCTTTAGATTAGGGAAGTTTGCCGGAGAATTTTATTAGGTTGATGCATAATTATTGCGGATTTTTTCGCGGCTTTTTTTCTCTCGACAGAATTTGAATATTGAGTTTGGGTTTTTCCTAGAAATGATGTGCTTGATTTTCTCTACGAGAATATACTCAAAAAACCACCTGCATATTCGCGAAATTAGGCTTAACTACTTCGAGAAAGATTGGAAGGTGGCACAGTCATACCGCGATCTCAGTAACTTTCCGGCGATCGAACAATCAGCTAGAGCCAACCAAGAAATGGATCTGCCCCTTAATCTGCCACATTCTCCAGCAGAAACTTTTGTGGATTATCTTGTCAACCGTTCATCGAAAAAATGGCTAGAGAATTGAAGTTACGTCGATTTGGACGACTTGATGGCCGATGTCAAGGCGTGGATCGCCCGTAAGGATCAAAACTTCTTCGCTTTTGGGATCCGACTAACTGATCAATGGGAAGCAGTGCTTGACGTAGATGGTGAACTGGTTCCGGAGTAATTATTTGAGTATGTCTTTGCTTAGTATTTCTATAGTTTCTTTAAGTAAAATTTGCTGGAAAAAAATCCGCAATAATTATGCATCAGCCTAATATATAGAGGCAGGTAAAATGCAGGGGAAATAGAAAATATCAAAATAATCATGTTTGACCGCCAGGAAATCATGTGTACTTTCACTAGATCACCTAATGAACGATCGCCGAAAAGTTAGTGAGATCGCGGAATGACTGTGCCACCTTCCAATCTTTCTCGAAGCAGTTAAGCCTAATTTCGCGAATATGCGGATGGTTTTTTTGAGTATATTCTCGTAGAGGAAATCAAGTAGATCATTTCTAGAAAAAACCCGAACTCAGTATTCATATTCTACGAGAGAAAAAAGCCACGAAAATCCGCAGTAATTATGCATCAACCTAATATGTTATTTGATAAAGGAAGCATTGCAGTACTGTTATATGTCGTCGTCACTGACTGCTATTGCGAGATTCTCCCCTACTTGAGTCTATGATTTAGTTCTTACAACGCGATCCGGTATCACCAGCTGGTGTATTCAATTATTCGATACCGAATGCGATGTCACAGTTCCTACAACCACTCAGCTACTACACTCATCAACATATGCAAGCAGTGATGCCATCGGCGAGATACAAGGTATAGGCCAAGCTTCTTCTGCACAACATCAGAAACCCAAGCCGCTCTCTTGCATCAGATTTGAGTTGATATAGGTGTCACTTCACTGATTACAGGAAGATTATGGCTCAGGAGGAACGTGTGTAGGGGAGCGATCGGTTTTTCAACCGTTGCCTTTTTCTGGGAAGCACCCAGATTCGTACGTTCCAATTTTCTATCTTCTTGTCAAATCGCCACAAGAAGGAACTCGATCTACTGGTGAGGAATTAAGACACTATTTACCATAACTCCCCTCCACCCTTCCACTACATGCGCTACTTACGTCATTGCAGGTATTGCTGCGATCGAGTTGCGGTTTGTAACTGGTAGAGGTGAGATGGCCTCGTTGACAACAGGTCGCCTGAATATTTCAACTCATCTGAGCTTGGCACCGACATTCTGTAATGTTGAGGAGCGAGAAATGTCGTACAGAGAAATGACGCGTACAATTAGGTGTGAACAGCTGAAGGAAATGCCTGGTGAGTCCAAGGGTCCCCCAAAATTCACCGAAATCGCTCAGACCGTGAACTTCCTTTTGAGCTGTAGGATAGTTGAGTTTCAGATGCTACTGACGTACTCTTCGTCAAAAACCACTTGGTGTTCATATCATTTTTCGCTTTAAAGGTCCGATCAAATCTTGAGAAATGCAAACAATTTGAATAACAAACTAGCTAGGCTGCTACTTTTTCGAGAACCCCAGTTGTCGTATTGACTGTCAACTGTGCCTTGTTAAGGAGTCTGCGCCTTTGCTCAAGTGGCAGTTTGGCAAGCGGGAGACGTTGACCTCACTCTTTTAGAAGACCAACTTCGGCATGTTGTACAGCTTGTAAGATTTCAACGTATTGTTTATCCTGTTATAGGATATCTACTGCAATTTTGTCAAATTTATGATAAGTGCACGTGAGATTCCGTTCAGGGTATGTGTGACGTTGTTACCGAGTTTGGCATTCTGAATCTGAATGTGATCGAGGTTGGTGCTCAACTCCCAGTGAGCCCAGGAGTGCACATTAGTCCGCATTCAAGTGAGTAAATTTGAAATCTTTGCGCCGCCTATTTTGCGACTTACACCAAATGAACGATTGTTTCACAAAAAAGGGAAATGACTAATTCCCCACGCAGGAACGTTATTTTGAGTACGGGTTAAGCCGCAACAATTACCTACTACGGGAATCGATCCCTAGGTCATGCATGTGCAACAGGGCACTCTTAGCCCCTGCACCACTAGTCTCTTCCTCTGGAGGTGTTATTCATTGAAGGGACATTGAACGTATATGTGCACAGTTTGCGATGCAGGTCGAATGTCTGGGAACTACTGACCCAAAGAGAGAGAGAGTCTGGTTGGCTTGCCTTTATCGTCTGAGCCTCCTGTTCTATCTGAGATAGCATCCTGGAGTTCTATCTAAGTTAACAACCTGGAGTACCCTCAGCTCTACGTCTCAGTCTGGCGAGCAGTCCATGGGCACTTTTACACCGAGAATATGAAGGGGCCTTGTCTGCCTTACGCTGTTTTCAAACTAGAGAAGAAAGGTACCTGGATCACAAGACAATAAGAGGCGTCGGTGTAGATATCTTTATCAACACATGCTTAGCGATGTTCATCGGTCGCACGCTATGGAAGCTTGACAACTCGAATCGGACGTCGAAGATCGAGTGGATGAACACATCATGCAATTTTGTGATGAACGTTCCACCGGGCTGTCACTGGACGTATCCATCGGGATGTCAAACGAACATCAAAACGGTTGTCAGTGTTCTGCGCCTTTCACAAATGCTTCGAGAGAAACGGTTGGTTCGTTTCGTGTCCCTCGAACAGGAACGATCCGCTACACCATACCGACGCAGAGACGAATGAAGACTCGTTCGACGGCAGCTCGAGCAAACCGATGATCAACAGAATCACTGTAATACCTCGTAAGACATTTCTCTGAAGCATTCCAATCAGACCAAAGTTTTACAGTTTGAATAAATCTGCGTTCTACAAAATATATCCCTCAGTCACATTAGTATAAGATGGCTGTACATCGATTCCACATTACGATTCCCCATGGAAACATTATTTGGATTTTTGATAATTCATCTCGAATATCCAGTCCTTGCAGAGTCCGTATCATCGGCTAAAACTCCCACCAGCACTTCCGAGCGTCGCCAGCAGCTTCGAAAACGAGACTCATCGGATGCGCTCCCTGTGGCATCAACGCCTGGCCTTCCGACTGATTCATCAGTGAGAAGTAAAGGAACATCGGTGAGTTCGTGCATACTTAAAGTGGGCCAAGTAGTTTTTTCTTGTATAATCGGCTATTTCGCGATCTTTGCAAGTCTCCGAAGTAGTACCTAGCAACTTTTCATCGAAAGATCTCTTTATTTTTTTTATTGCTTCTGATTAATTCTCCTGATAAATTTAGGTGTTCTCGTTTGAAACCCGACGTGGTTCGTTCACATCGGAATTGGATAGGATGTCTGTGGATTATGTTTTACCGTAAGTGTCCCGGAGTTCAATTATTCTTCTAATTCTGCTGAGTATTTAATTTTGAGCAGCTTCGAGTGTAGTATTTCTTATTTTGCTCCTTTTTTTCCTTTCTTTTCATTTCTGTAGATGGATCAATGGCTATGTCCACATATGGATAAATCTTCCTCGCCGTTCTAATGCCTCTCGCATATTTTCAGTGCCAGCAACCGCTCACCAGATTTTGTAAATCCTACGTTTGTCTCAACGGCAGGACCATGGTTCGACTATGTTGTAGATGAATACTCAGGGTAATTTCCATAGGATTTTAAATCTTAAGTTGTTCTGATTTCGAGATACCTTACAAGTTTATTAGGAGGGCAACTAAGTCTTATACATTTTCTTCGAGGTTTCCATTTTTCATGGTTTATCTTTTCTTCGGAATGGAGAATTCTATCGTCAGAACGTACTATACAATTGAAATCAATTTATTGATTGTGGTAATATTACTGAACGCCGTTGAGGAACCCTCCATCTTATATCACTGAGAAGGGAGAACGATACACTTCCGTATTGCGCCACTCCTGGATGTTTGATTGTAAACAGACCGTCAACAAGGTGAATATTTATCTTTCATAGGACTTATATCAGGATATACATATTTGAAGCCGGTTATCCTGTATGCTTATCTCCATTCTCTGAAAACTTTATCGTGAGGTCAAAATTAGCTTCCTCCTAGGCACTTCGTGAGATCGTCGATCGTGTTCTTGAACAAGTGCGAAACGTCGATGCGATATATCCCGATCGGGTGCAGGTATTCGAACCAAGCCCACGTCTGGGTGAGCCGGCGCCGCTAAGCTCGACATCTTCGACAAGTAGTACGACGGCGACGAAATCAAATCGTGAACGACGCTATGAGGCTGCTCCGCTCTCTGTTCAGTACTGCATGAGTGTGAGCATTGATCCTCATACTACTATAGTTCATGAATAGCTTGCTCCAAGTTATTAGTTATTATTAGTTCCATGAGTTATTTCCTGTCTCCTCATTTCAGGCTGATATTGGACGGGATCCATATGACTGTGACATGCCCGACGCTCTGGTCATCTGCCAGGAAATGCAAGTTGCTATCGAAACGCAGCGGTTTGGATTTGAGCCAGTAGGAGCGTGCCCTGAAACGTTGTTGCGTCTGAATAATAGCGGTTAGACTTCGGAGTTCCTTTCTCTTCTTGAATCCGTCCTTGATCGTTCCTTATAGTGTCCAAGGAGCTGTTTCTGCCGTGTACTGAGGAAGGCCACTTTGTTCCTCGTCGTCGTATAATGTACGGCACAGTATATGGAGAGAAGCTCACCCTGTACTTTTATAATTTTATGCCGTCGTTATCAGCATCCCTCATGAATATGGTGGCAAGGTAGGAATTATTGCTTGTAGCTGATTCAAAACATTGCAATAAGATATTTTGAAGGCGTTCTGAGGGTTTTTATAATGGTTTCAATAGATTTCACATGCGCCATGCTACCACGAATTTCAGAGAACAAGTATAGGTTGAATTGTAGAACTCTGTATTCAAAGTTCTACGGTAACGAATGAAGCATGATTTGTGTTGATAGCTAAGCGCGTAGTCCTGTAAATGTGGCTGATTGGTAGCGTAGGGCAATGCGTCCTCGTTAGTGGGATCGGGTCACGGGATCAAATCAACGAGCAGCGATCTGCGTTTTTCAGTGCATGGCACTATGCCATTCATTGAAGACGTGTGCATCGTTCTACTTGTAGAACGAGCACTGATCGCCATATAAAAAGGCAATGTGCGTGTACCGCAGTCTAGTAAATCAGCTGTGGTTCCTTATGAAGTTGCAACATTCTCTTTTTACGTTCGGAACCATATCGCACTTTTCTTCAACTCGAAACACCATAAAGTGCTCCCTTTAATTCGGGAGCCCTAGATAATCATTTTCTGAAGACAGATTAAATACGAGTAGATTTGGCAAATATTACGCTTAACGTACTTGCCAAATCAGTGGTTCATGTGACACGCGTGAGTAGCAATAAATACATGTAGGGTGCATCTTTTTTTGCCAGAAAAAAAAAGAATTCTCTGAATGGGATATAACATGACCTAATACATAGGGTTCATCCGATTGGTCTCATATATTTGCTGAATAAACCTTCATCGCAAGATGTTCAATCGAGAAACTGAAAACTAGAATCTTTCTAGAGATTTCGGTTTTTTCTTGCAAGTGGGTGGTAATAGTCTAGAACCTTCCCTGAGTGACCATGCCTTTTGAAACTCACAAGTTCAACCTAAGTCGTACATTTTTCTTTCAGAGCGACATCTTGGTACAATTCTCGAGCCCGTCTAGTACGAGAAATCGGCCTGCATAAAATGGGCATAACGTATTTATCTCCTCTTGAGGTTGTTTTATACGATTCACTTGTGTCATACTAGTATTGAAGCGCTCCTTATTAACAGTACTTTCAATCGCCTACGGACAACCCATATCTGGTATTGGTTTGGCGACACCCCGATGAGCTATTGGACAAAGACTATCCTCCTGATGACCTTCAGGTAAGGTATGACAAGGAGCCCTTTTTCTTTCGAATTAATGGTAGAGGAGTTTAGATAACAGCCATTGACGCGCTGCCCAAAGGATATTCAGCCAGTCTTTTCCGGTTATATCGTAGACCTGGTGGGAACAACCTCTTTGAACGTTAAGGATTGATGAGGAGCTTCTAGTTTTTGACTGACTCGATCAACTTCCTTTCAGATATTCCTCACTTGCTGCTGAATAGATCACCTTGTCTTATTCAAGATCAGCTGGAGCAGATGCGTCAGATAAGGTCCATTTTCTTAATTGATTTTAAAGGGATATAATACTGTTTATGAAATTAGTATTTATTATCTTTTCTACGGATGACCGAAGGTTGGGATATAGTGGAGGTTGCGTTCTTTTCCCCTTTGTTCATGTGTTTTTACACGGGAAATACATGAAATTTTTCCAGGAAAAACACTAGAGAACAGCTCAATATGGTACGTGCTTTCTCGACCGTCCACGATTTGTTGCTATCGGGAAGAAACAAGCTTGCGGTAGGTAATTGAATCAGTAAAAAAGTAGGAATATTTTGAAAGAATAAAAAATGCACAAGGCTGAGCTCACGACGAGATAGTATCTGCGGAACTCGTATTTGAAAGAACTTTTGTGGCGTCATTGATTTGAAAATGGAATTACGGGAGGGCTAGTTGCTATTGGCATTCGGTTAAGTTGTCGAGGCTTCTTCCAAGTCCCAGCGACGTGAACAATCACAAAAAAAGCCTGACCAGCCTCAAAAAATTGGTGCGGATACCATTTGGGGCACAAGTTACCTTCAATACTTCTAACATCAATCCCAGTAATTGCTTTGATCTCATCGATCTCATGTCTCGTTCGTCGCTCCCACATCTTCTTTCCCATACTGTCTCATTCAATGTCTAATCATGCACAAATCGCTCGGAGCCGGATCTGGACTGCACTGTCGTACTTTCCTCGAATATCCCTTTACTTTTTGACTTTCCCTCGTAGTTGGGCCACTTATGTTCGAGTGAGTATTAGAAAGGAGGTTTTCATCCTGGGAACTTTTTTTTCTGATCATTTTCAATTGCAGTACACTGATAGCAGAAATGGCGAAAACAGGGCAGATGCTTCCTTTTTCCATTAATTTTTTTTTTCGTACCAGGAATCAGATATTACTTACTGCGGTATCATTTTCCGTTGGTGCAAAGCTGAGATTTGATATGTTCGAGACGATCATTCCTCGAATGAACGAGGGAGGCGTTTCTCCGGCCCAATCAGGTCAACCTTGAGGCTCATGTCGAGCTCTCGACACTAGCAAAGTGAAATAGACAGGAAGGAGCAATCGAAATTTGACTGAAACACTGTGGGCTACTGTCGTATAGAATTCTAATAGCAGAAAAATAAAGTTGAGGTCGAACAACCTTGAGTCGAAGAGAATTAAGGTTGTTAGGGCCAAAACTTGTTTCTTTGAAGACATGAATGATATAGTGATGTAACTGGAATATTGAGATGCTCAACGTAATGCGAAGCCGACCTGACCTAACCCCTGAAATTTATTAAACCCTCAGGTAGCTATGAGAGGGCATCTCCAGAATGCGCATTTACAAAAGCCCTCTGCGGCTTTCACATAGGGCCCATTCCCTGCAAGTGTTCCGCCCATGGCTACTGCAATTTCTCCCTCAATCACGGCTTCTGCTGTTTCTCGCAAAGTGTTGCCGGTCGCACTATTTCGCACTGAGTGCTATGCAGTTCAAGTAACTCAGTATTATTTAGGAATCGGATCTGGAAAAATTGAGGTCGGTCAGCAAACTGGTGCATTTTGTGGAAACACCGGTATTGTTCTTCCAAAAATGGCGAAGAAATATTGCTGAAGTTCGACAGGTTCATTATGACTCTATTTTCATAATAGCTTAGCGGTTATTTCTGTTGCTCATTTGGTTATTCGATCAAATTTGACTATGGAGTTCTATTGAGTAAAAACCCAGGTGCGAGCAACGGTAGAGCTGGATCCTCGGAAAACCAAAATCCCAACAGGTCCGTCATCCTTAGCACCGGGCACTCGTCAACGTGCGAATACCCTCAGGTGAGTGAGTTTCTCTTGAATTCTAGTTTGACTGATTTCGGGTCATTTTAGTAATTATGCTTAGCTCTCAGATTAGATTCACAGCAATTATATGTACCTCTCCTGAAGCTTCTAGTATCGAAACTCTGCTCGGTCGTGATACTTTCACCGTGTTTTCAATTTTCTTTGCTTTGCTTCGCTCACGTACGGGCTTTCTTGATTATTCCTCCTTTCTATCGTTGATGGCTTTTCCCCATTGAGTAAAGTGTTCTTTCAGTGTACCCCCATCAGCCCCGGCACCGTTCCGAATCAGATCCGACATCGATAATGATGATCCTTGTCAGGTCAGCCGAAGCGTGTTGATTTTCCCCATAACTGAATGCTAGTGTTAGTAGTCATCAATATTCTCTGAAATCCTTGTGTGCATAACTGTTTCTATGTGGACAGAAAGTGAGGTTGCAATATTGCATCTGGCCCTATCGCCTTGAAGGCATGGTCGTGTCTGCCATTCTGTTCTGCTTATCCTCTTCTATCGTTACCCCAGAGCAAGAGGTGGCTTTAGTTGGACGTGTGAAGCGAGTGGATCAATTTGAACCGTACTTGGGCATTTGATAGTGGAAAGTGGAAGCTTTGCCGCTATATGGGGAAAGCTAGAAAACGCGAAGATGAAATGTAGGAGTTCAAACTACCGTATTATCACGTAATTTCGTTATAAAAATTCAGAGAAAGGGTGTGTGGTATATAACATTGCAAGAATCAATTTTNTCAATTTTTCTCGTAAGGCCTCCGATGACTCGGTTTCGCAGCATTTTTTGGAATGTAAATGAGAAGATTCCTGAGAAAAAAATTAAAGAATGTAAATGAGAAGATTCCTGAGAAAAGAATTAGAATAAGGATATTTCAGGCTAAAATTCTCTACCTTCTTATGGGAGATTATGTTGCCTATTTGTCTTCCTTGGGATTGCAGTTGTTAAAGGTGACCAATCTGGAACGGAGGTGTAGTGTTTCATATTTCAAACTCTAAGGTTTTCAACCGATTTATTATTTTTTGCCTCAAACCGCTAGCTCTTTATTTCTCTCTTTTATCTATCTCACGATCGGTTATTTTAGCTATATTTATTTTAAGAAGTGAGGAACGTCGTATGTATACGATCAACTATCCACAAGGTTGCAAACATGCGCCGTATGTTGTGATGTATAAGGCTGCAAAAGGTTGTTTTGCATTTTTTACATATTCCTGAGACATATATCCTTTTTTCAAAATCGATTTGTTTGTTCCTACCAAATAAAGTCGGGTGAGGATCGAACTGACAATGTATAATGTTTTTTATTGATGCACTGACGGGATCGGATGGGAGCTAGAGAAATATGTAGAGAAACCTTTTTACATTTCTTGATCGTGCTATTGCGAAAGAAAGTGTTTTGAACTCATAGCTCGTGTAGAGGGAGTGTGTTGTCGGTTCTTTGGGGACATGGCGAAGACTTGATTCAAAAGAGCACATTAAGAAATAGGTATTTTAGTACAGTGTTATACATTGGCTTCCCACTACCTGTACTCATTGGAGACCTGAATATTTCTGAATGTAGGCTGAAGCTCTTCCCCATCGTGGACAGTGAAAGCTTCTCTCCCCTTCCCTCTCCTCCTGATTCTTTATAGTAAGTTAAGCGAGCATTTCGGTCAAACCACTCCCCATGCCAACGTCTCTGAGTGGTTATTCTCAACTACGATAAATGCTTGTCTGTTCACCAGTTCAAAATTTGTATTTCAGGAGGTGTGATGCTGGTAACTTTGTCGTTTACGCGACCGTACTTCGCGTTCAAACTCTTCATATGGCACCCAACGAGCTTGCGCGAAGCGATCAATAAAGTAAGACTTATGGACTTTAGCACATATGAATCTCGTAAACCTTAAGTGAGAAAACATTGTGGTGTTTATATGCTAGAGAGTTCATTCTCCATTTTCCTCCAAGCAACAATCTACGGTCTGACAGCTAAGCAACTCGCCGCGACTTATTAAATATNATATTGGCTTATTCTTTATTTTGACTCTTCCAGTTACACATTTTCGCTTCCATAGATAAAAATCGTTTCAATTTCCATGTAGTCGTAGATTTCTTTAGTACTTCGTTCGACTCGTACATACAGCTTTTTTTGCAGCTTTTCAAATAATGCCTTCGTAAACAAGTTCTGTATTCATCATTCGACCACTAAGAAAGCTAGGATTTGGGTGTACATATGGATCGAAGTATTCAGGGCGACACATGTGCGGATTCGTTGCGACTGATCCGTGAGCTGCAACAGTTCAAAGATATTGTCATATCGCAATGCCATCTACATTCATTTACTTACGATTTCCATTTACGAATGCTGAGCAGATATCTTGTGGGCAAAGATAAAGTAGGTAACTCCCGATCTTCCTTTTTTTATTTGTACGAAATAATACGATGCTTTCTGTCTCGCAACAAAGGTCTTTACACTCACTCCAAATATTTTTTTCTCGCCAAACAATTTGCCTGTACACAAGCGGGAAGTTTGAAGTGAAGGTATACAGAGAAGCACTCTTTAAACTTTTTTATTTGGGTGTCCTGAAAATCTGCTAAACAATGTACTGACAAAGCGACTTATTAAGGAAAATTGACTATGAGTGTTAGGGCACTGAAAAGTTTTAATCGGATATAATTTTTCACTTCCCTATATCTCCTAGTTCTATACTCCGAGAAGACGTCGAAATCGCGTTGAATGTTTTAGATGCTCTTTTCACCTGGTTACAATACACACGCATTTCTGGTGGACTTTCTGGAATACTATGGTTGCAGGCCACCGAACGCAAGGAATTGTGTTTACGAAGGTATCTCAAAGCGAAATAAACGTTCCCACAGAATCCCACATATTTCAGTTTTTGATAACTGCTGGAGACAAGCTTTTGCCGCACTCTTTGCTCGTTTATTTTTGTGTGCACCTTCATGACTTTCGATTTCTAACATCTCTTCATTCTTGAATGACCCCAAGGTCTTCTTTACCCTGTTTAGAGTACCTGCAATAGTAGGACATGCGCTGCCGTAATACAGATGAATTGGTTTTATATGATGGTGGAGTTAAAGTAGTATTGGTTTTCAAAGTTAAATACTTACAGAACGCTGCACATATGCTCTACAACATGGTGTTCGAGGCGGTGATGTATGGGATCATTTCCTAAGCTGCGAGAAGGCTTATGGCTGGACCGTTTTGAAACTAAAGGTTCTTTACTTTCAAATAGGAAATTCTTATTGACCTTCGAAGGTTCCATCATGCAAGATGTAGGAGTGAATAACAGATATGTACTTGACGCAAAGAACGAATCATGTTTTGTGGAGGGCAGGCGCCTGGCAACGTGCTTCGAACATCATTTCCTTGATCACTTCAGTTCATTTTTGTGGACTACATTTTACTTATCTCTAGAATTTTTTTACTCTTTGTTCGAGGAATCCCAACATGACCTTGCGGGCGAATTTCTATTCCTTTTTTTTGTGTTTCGGCTATAGATATAACATAATTTGGACTTACTCCTGGATTTGAACTCACCGCTTCGCATCACGCTTCCCTCGCTTGAATTCCCTGATAGAACTAATTTCTTCTATTCCCTTTGTTACTTGTACTCCTGGCTAGAAAATCGAATCGGTGACCGAATTTCTTCCATATCGGCCAGGCTCGATCCTATCTATCTTTCTATCCTGTCACCTATGGATTAATAGATCCATGGGTAACAGAATAGAAACAAGGAAGATTTGTGAATTCTGTGACTCTTCGTTCAAATAGTCACCCAGGTCACGATTGCATTCAATACAAAGTACGTTTCTGAACGGTACTGAGCTACGTAACTCACTTTGAAAAGTGTTTATTCCTTGTCATCCCACTGTTGGAACATTATCGTTCCTTATTCTTTCGAACCTTTAAGTAAACATCTCTTGATTTCAAAAAAAGCATTAGGGGCTGACGCGTTAACCATTCGCCTCTTATGAGATCCATGAACTCATTGTCAGAAAAAACGCCGTATTTTATCTATGCAACAACTAGAGATATTAGCCAGGAAATTCAATTTGCTTACCAAGAGAATTTTTGTGTGGGACGATTAGTGCTGGGAAGATTAAAATTCAATGAGTTAGCGAGGAATTCCAACAGAATGAGTATATGTGCTAGCGGCGCTCTTCATCTGTGTCGGATCTCTACTATAAAGCATACCGGATGTCTATAAGTTGAAGCGTGTTAGGCGTAATCAACTAGTTGATTGAGAGTTTGAAGTTGAATGGAGTTAGAAAGCTGTCTTTCCTCTTTTTCGTTGATATCAATCTTCTCTCATCTCAGAAGTATTTGAGAGACCCGAGATTAATTTCAAATCCAGATCTTCACAAAATACTGTGCCACACTTTCTACCACACAAATACCAGTATTCTATTAGTGTGTCTGGGAAGTTTTGAAAAAATTTTGCCTCT